AGATAGCATTGAAGAGTGGGTGCAGCTCAAGCAGGACTCTATTCGCTCATTCAAGCTTGAACACGGTGAGGATCTTGATGAGACCAAGCCCATGTCGGAACGCGATGAGATGGTCCGCGAGGTTCGTGAAATCCCTGTCAAGGTTGAATCGGAATTGGAAGTCGAGGAAGTCGATGTCTAGACAACTTGTGGATAGATCCGTGTGCTAAATTGTGGACTGGACGGACAGCAGCTTGGGCACCGCGTTTGCACCGAGCGCGTCTCCATGTGTCTTGTAACAAGGAACGAAAAAGCTGCATAAGCACTAAAGGATGCCAATTGTAAAGGCTGAGAAGCAGAAAAGTACATGATACCGGTAGGAATAAAATCGAAGTAAAGATACATATATTGAAACTGATGCTTGCAAAACACGGGGACAGAGTTGTAACCACCGAAGGATGACGGTCGAGTGTGTTGGTACGAAATGAGTTGACGCAGACGGTGAGATCTGTTCCACTTCGGACCGCCGAAGAACTACAGACCACTGGACGACCTCGACACCAAACGACCTAGCTACATCGTAGAAACCATCCGTTTCGATGCTGTGACGTTGAATTGTGATGCTGTGACGTCGATGACGCCATTTGTCTCTTTCCTGCCGTGTGTGTAGACCCACACAGCGCCTATCGGGTTGTATGTACAGTATCCTTTTAGCTAGACGAGAACGAAGGACACGAGGCGCTCTCACTCTAAAGGTGGTACCGGTACAGCGTACCGGTAGGTCGGCTCCGGGCGAACAAATGAAACCTAGACTATATTCCGGGTATGGCTGGAACGATACGAATGTAGTTGGATGTGATTGAGCCCTTTGGAAGAGGCCTTTTTCGCCAGTGGATCTTCAACACGTTGGCCTCTGGCGGCTGACAGCCATGTCCTTCCTTCACTGTGCCAAGTCGCCAAGCCCTCTCTCGTTACATACAACATGGAATCAAGATAAAGTTGGTTACTTTATGATTGCCGTGTAATTGATGGAGAAAGACTTCCGAAAACTCCTTTCAAAGTGAAGAGACACCCTGAATCGAATCTCAATCGTCGTTTTTGGCTCCTTTGGGGTGAATGTAAATTGTCGAGTTTCCCATTTATTTGTGTTCATTTTCTGTTTTACAGTTGTTTGGTTTGTCGCTTTGTGTGTGGATCACCTAGCTAGCCAGCTAGCTAGCCTCTCAAATTCGCCAGACGAGCTTCCAAATCATCCGCTGCCACTGGTTTGGCCGCTTCGCTCTCCTGCACTTGTGGGACCTTTTTGCCGACCGGCCCCGCCTGTGCAAATGCGTCTCCCAATTCTAGATTATTGGCATCGGCCACTTGGGCAATGAGATTATCGACTTGTTCGGCGGGTGTGGTGGATGCCGTGGTGGCATTCATGGTTCCTTCCATGTATTGTGTCTTGACATCGAGATCTTCAAATTGCTGTTCGAATTTGTCCATGAGTTTGGATATTTGATCCACATTCATGGACTGCAATCCCTTGTCCATGCCCCGCACAACACCCTTCATACCATCGGTGACCTGGTTCATCCGTACGGCCGTCTCTATCCGAGAGGAACAGGCATCTATACGCGATGCCATGCGTAAATGATTCAAAGCTTGGTTCTTTTCGCGAATCGCATCTTGACCGTAAATTCGAGCTCCTTCCGAATTTCCTTGTTTGATGGCCTGTGATGTGTCATCACACCGTGCGTATGATACGATGATGACGATTATGATGACAAAGTAGGAGCCACCCACCAGAGAATCGATGAGAACGACGCGTGTGAGGAGAGAAAGCAGCGACAAAACAAAATACAGTAGGATGATTGATTGTAATTCACCGGACCGATGATATCTCACTGACCTTTTTGAGTTTGTCGATTGCTTGTTTTTCATTCTTTTCGCACTTTTTTGCCGATCGTTGCATCTGCTTGGATACAATCCGCAGATTGATCATTTCCTCTTCGAGCGATACTTTGTTGCCCATGGTCTCGTTCCTTTTGGTTTCGCTTGCTTCCTTCCTTTGCTTGGCGTCGATGGTTTATCAAATTGTGTCTTGCACTGTCTCCTTGAATCTGAGAAGAACGTGGTGAGGGCGCAAGGAAACCAACGGATAGTTCCGTTTGATCGATTGAGTCGAGTCGAATCGATTCGTGAGGGGCTGAGTCCTGGATACTCCAAAGATTCTCCAAGGCTTTCTTTTTTCTTCTTTGATGGGCACATCTAAAGATGGAGATGGTTGTTTCGAAAATGACCTGTGGTAGCGATTTATGACTATCCAGTTACCAGATTACTAGAAATCAACCACAACCTCAACAACCAAGTAGTAAACACACACAACACTATAGCAACCTCTTTATCAACACCACCATCATCAGCCTTTTTCGGCTTATCAGGCGTGGAAGCTACTACGATAGAAGAACAAGCAAGCAACGACCGATCCCTTTGTCACGATCGTTGCGAGCGACGAGCCGTTCGTTCGTTCGTCCGTTCGAACACCATTGTCGAAGAAGATACCGTTCGTTCAGATACCGTTCGAACGACGACGAGAAGAAGACGACGACGCTACCGTTCGTTCGAAGCGACGGTCATATCCCATTGTCGCGATCGTTGAAAAGAAGAAGAAGGAGTTTGTTAACCGTTCGAAGATACCGTTCGAAGCTATCGTGGTATCAGTTCGACGCGAAGATACCGTTCATTCGAAGCAGCGCCATTGTCGCCGATTCGAAGCTACCGTTTCGGAGCTACAGAACGACAAGAAGAGATCCTCATTGCCAGTGTAAT